AATCTGAAATAAGAAAGTGACAGCCCCGCAGCTCCCCGCGAATGCCAGAGAATAAGAAAGCAAGCCGTAAACATTCCTGCACTTTCGCAACGGCAGAGCTGTAAAAAGTTTTCGGTAAACGCATTTCAAACACTCGCCAAGATAGTTATTACAATAGTGAACAAAGCAGCAACAACAAAGGCATGCGTGTGGGTGGGGAGTGGGTGGAAAGTGGGTGGTAGGTCGGTGGCTGAGTGGGTGGGCAGCAGCTGTGGGAAAACTTGTATCATTTCCCCCCAAATGAAATGCGGAAAGAGCAGGGCCATCTTGCAGTTCTTACACAGCAGCACAAAGTAATATTTACAAAAGAATATTCTTTTAAATTTATTTTTTCTCTTCGGCATCTCTACTTTGTAGTGTTGTGTATGGCAGATAGAAGCCATTTTTGAAGTGCAGTTAGCTTTGATCGGTGTGTGAGTGTGCGTGCACTGAGGGAAAGATTTCCTAAAACCAAATACATTTTTATATTTCTTATATAACTTTATATGATTCATTTTATCCGATGTTCTAGTCAAGCAAAGAAATAATTGACTAAAAAAATGTAAAGAGTAGGATGATGAAACAGAGATAGTTTCCATGAATTTATTTGTTCGAATTTGCATAGCTTTTTTTCTCTGTGTAGCAGATAGGTCGGTGATTTGGGTGGCGGATGTTGCCGAGCTTAGCGGAAGCCTGGCTGCAACTGTCGTTGTCGTTGTCGCTGTCACTGCTCACTCTTTATCTGAATCTCTGGTCCTTTGCCCCCATGCTCCTCCGAAAACCCCGCACCACTCTGGCTGAACTCAACATCCGCTGGACAATTGATGAACGCCTTTGTTGTTGTATGCAGAGTGGATTCCAGTTGAACTCCAGTGGCTGTCCTCATCCTCGTCCAAGTTTCGAGCAAGTTCAGTTACCATTTGCCGTGTGGAAAACTTTGTGCAGTTGACATCCAAAGGGGAAGTGGTGCGGCGAGGGCTCAGCCATTTTTATCCTAAAGGTCCTGCGGATCGTCGCCTGATGTTTTTCGTTTCGTTTCGCGCCAGCAGCAAAAGTGCCGAGTTCAAAGTTTTGTTTACAAAGTTTTCAAATTTTTGTGGCACTGAGTTGAACTTCCGCCTTCCCCTTTCCCCTTTTCCCGCTTTTCCTTCTCGTTCTCGTTCCCAATTTTCCCATTTCCGGCTGCTGTTGATGATGTTGCTACCGCTGTTCCGCCGCTCCCTGATTTTTTGTGGAGCCCTCTGGACAGCGGCGGCGGCAGCTGGTCTTCGATTCGCAGTCATCCATCATTAGCCACAATTATGTGGCAGCTCTATTAAATTTCCATCAATTTGCGAGTGCAGCAGCTAAACTAAATGATGCAGAAAACGCTGTGGCAGTGGCATGCAGCTGGGGTGTGGCACTCGTGATCTCGAGGACGAGGACGAGGACTCGACGTGCAGACACATCCTGCGGCTGCCTCAAGTCGTCATTGCGCGTAAAATTATGTCAATGCCTGTCAACTTTTCCGTTGAGCCAAGTTGCTCGACAAGTGCACCCTGTAGTGTCTTTGAGAGTGCATTGAGTGAGCGACTGAAAGTTTTCCTTAGCCCCCAATGCCCCCATTGCCCCTTCCCAGTGCGTTTTTTCCCATCGCGGCTTTCATGTGTGTTATTGACTATGCATAAAGTGCATTTACAGTGCTTCCCGGACAGAAGGAAGCTGCCAGGATGGGAGAACAGTTGCGCTTAATGCCGCCGAGGGGGCGGAAACTTTTTTAATTTAATGTAAAAATTACCTACCACGCCAGCCGCAAACGCATACAGAAGTCACTGAAAGTCCTTTAAGGCGACAACTTCGTTTAACCCAACTTAATGCAAACTTGGCGCTCGCTTTTTCAAATTAGCCCGGTTAATTAGCGTAATATGCATGTGTAACTGTGTGTGTGTGTGTGTGGGTGTAACGTCGCTTGCAGCTTGACTTGCAGCTAAAATTTAATAAGTTTCGCTCGCCAATTAGCCCATCCCCTTAGCCCCGCCTGCCTGCAACTGCATCCTTGCATGAAACTCCCAACGAATTAACCCCAAAAAGCACCTGCTAATTGTAAGTGGAACGTTTTGCATATTCATTGTCTTGAGGCTCACGAGGCGCTGGCCAATTCCGGATCCGTTTCGTTTCTGCACCTAGATAAGCCACCCAGAACACTGTGTAAATACTTACTATAAGTAGTCCACGAATGCTTGATTTTGTTTCATTTGATTTTACTGTACCTCTTGAGCACCACGTAGTCCAGTCACTTGAACGTGAGTCGAGCCTATCTATAGCTATATGTATATATGAACAGTCGACTGAGACATCAGTCTGTCAGTGACCAAAAGAAAACACAGTAAAGACGAAAGTCAACGGACGCACTTCCCGATCCCCCGAGAAATATTCAAACCGAACACCAACTCACCAACTCACAACACGACACCTACGTATACTCTTCTTAAGCAAAGATATTTAAATACTTATATCATACACAACTTATATGATAAGTGTCTATTCTTTTCCTTTTTCGTCTCTTTTTACGCTCTGACATTTCATTTTCCGATAACAACAACCAACCAACCAACCAAACAACCAACAACCAATGCGCATTTAACCAACACACGCACACCACAATTGTAATGTGAACTACAACCCACCGAAACACCACCACCCACCACCCGCCACCCACAACACCACAACAACCCCTCCGATAAAAAACCACAACAACACCACAAAAATCAGAGCGTGCCGGTGCTTCGAACATTTGGCGGTCATCACATCGCGTAGCGCGAACGGGAGCGGGAAGTGGGCGTGGCCAGTTCGCCGTCGACAACGATAGCCACGCCCACCGGTACGCCGCCCCTGCTGCCGCCGCTGCCCAACTCCTTTGTGGCGATCAAGACGAAGTCGGACTGCAGCAGCAGCAACCACAGCAACAGCAACAACAGCAACAGCAACAACAGCTTGACTCTGCAGAGCGGCAACAACAGCTTCAAGTCCAGCGGTCAACGGAAGTCCCCGCAGCCCCCGCCGCTGCCCATGAAGAACGGATCCAAGCAGCAGCACCAGCAGCAGCAGCAGCAGCAACAGGAGTCGCACTACCAACATCTGAGCTACCAGCAACATCCCGGCGGCAATACGCGCAACACTCTCGATCGCAAGCAGCAAAACAACGGCGACTACTGCACCCAGATCAATCCGCACTATCTGCAGACTTTCGATAGCTTGGACCACTACAGCGTGGCCACTATGCAGCAGCAGCCGCTGCGCAGCCAGTCCAAATCGCAGATCTACAGCTACGGCAGCAGCGGCACCGCCAGCGACAACAGCAACCACAACCAGCAGCACGTGCCGCACCAGGCGCACCAGCACTACCACAGCAGCAGCAACATCGCCCACATCGAGCACCACTACCACCCGCAGCACGGCGGCGATCGCTACAGCCACCCGCACGTGCAGCAGCAGCAGGTGCACCAGCAACACCAGCAGCAGCAGCAACACCACAGCCTGAAGCACACCAAGCACGGCAAGGGGCACAAGAACGGCAAGCACGGCGCGAAGGGCGCCAACAGCAAGTCGCAGGATGACTTCAAGATGTTGCACAAGCAGCAGCAACAGCAACAGCAGCAGCAGCAGCAAAAGTGCAGCGGCAACAGCAAGTCGGCCAAGCGCAACGGTTGCAGCAACCAGGTGTTGCCGCTTCCCCCGCAGCAGCAGCAACAGCAGCACTACTCCAGCTCCAGTGATAGCCTACCATTTGATAATAATTATTATTAGACACTCGCACACTCAGGCACACACACACCCACTAACACTTATTATCATTGAAAAGGATAAAGGGTGTCCCAAGAATACAGCAGTCTAAGTATTATATCATTAACATAAATTCACTAAATATTGATTTTAAAATACACACATAGATTTACCCATATACTCATATATTCTATTATTTATAATTTGTCTAACACAACCAGTTTGCAAACTAATTTATATTAAATTTTCTACAGTACACAAATATGATATTTTTTTAATAATTGGCAGACACTGAGTTCTCACTCATTTCAAAGGCACTCACATTTTATGCACATCAATTAATTCCTGTTTTAGTTATTTTACATTGTAGTAATTGGATAATCATTAATTAATGTCCCAATGAAATGAGAATCCTCCGGAAATTCTGACAAATTCGCATATACTCTAAATATTGACCACATTTTTGGGACATCCTTTATGTACCTGTGTTTGAGGAACGCACACAATTACAATTCCACACATTTGTGTTCGCCAAATGGTTGAAAGTTTTCATTTAATTGAGAGAATTCGCAAACAGAATTTGAGCTGCAAGATGCATTCCTGATTGCAATGCAAATTTGATTTTGCGGCTCCAGGAAGACGATTCCTGGCATTTTTTACAGCTGCCGCATCAGAAGGCTCAGGAGGTGGAGATACATAGGTGTTTTGAGTGCCAACTGTTTGGGCAGCTTGTTGTTTTCGAATAATAGCCTCTAAATGAATTGAATTGAATATTTACCTAGTCTATAAACTAATTTAGTTCTTAGTCAATGTCGGATCGCAATTGAAAGCCATTTCAGATGGCAGATACAGCTTATTGTTAATTGTGTATATAGAATTTGTAAGCGTATAGCACTAGTTATATCTATTGTAGACTTAAGACAGGCCCACCAGTTCCCAGTCCCGCTGACCCTTTAACCTCTGACCCCTTAAGCCCTGAACCCCTGACCTCTTGACTCCAAAAAAAAAAAAAGCTCACCAGCCACCAACTTTGCGCACCCGAAAGCAGAACGTGTTCTTTGGCCCCTCAACTCGGCTAATCAGATTTTGTTTATTTGTTTCATTAACGAATTGCTTGAAATATCTGCCAACAACTCAACTCAAACCACACAACAACAACTACATCAACAACAACAACATCGACACACCCAAAACCACACTGCTTATGCAAACACCCCCAGTCGAGTTCCCAGGCGAGGAGCAGCGGCCACGACGAGCTGGGCAACCTCCTGTGGCAGCAGGACTCGTGCGAGTTCCTCGAGCAGTTTCCCCCACCGCCGGCGGCTGTCCCGTACCGCCCCTGCGTCACTGCCACGCCCCCGGCCACGGGCACGCCACGAAGACGCTGACGCGCCACAACGCCGACCTGTTCAGCGGGGACCTGGGCATTCCCGAGATCAACACCCACGTGGGCAGCGTGGTGCACACGTTCGAGACCCTGGCGCTGCAACGCCGCCTGGCGGAGGAGGAGGACCGCCACCCGGACCGGGAGCTGAGTAAGTATGACAGTGGCAATGTGGCTGGCACCACCCAGAGCAAGTACAGCCAGCTGAAGCGCCGCTCACAGGAGATGCGCCAGCGGCTGGTGCAGCAATTGCACCGCCAGCGCTTGCAGCAGCAGCACCACCAGCTGCAGCAGCAGCAACACCAGCAGCACCACCAGCAACACCAGCAAAGAGCACGCTCACGAACACAGTCGCAGCCGCAAAAGCAGCAATCCTTGCACGAGGGGGTCCTGACCAACAGCTGCAGCACCCAGACGCTGGCCTCCAGCTTCTGGCAGCAACCAACTCTGCCGCGATCGCAGGATCGCTCGCGGGAGGAGCTGCAGCAGTCCACCTTCGATGACTATCGCAAGAACCTGTTCGGCACGCTGCGCAAGCACGCCAGCCTGGAGGACAACGAGGAGCTGCAGGACGAGTCCTTCATTGTGAACGCGGCCTTCGACGAGATCTTCTCCTGCTACGACGACGAGAACGAGGACGACAAGGGAACGCAGACGCAGACGCAAACGCAGACGCAGACGCCATCCAACACCGACGATCTCTTCGAGGACGAGCACATGCTGGTGAGCCTCAGTGAGCTGGACGACGAGGTGTTCGCCAGTCGGGCCCAGACGGCCTCGACCACGCCCACCGCCAGTGCAGGGGCGTTGGCGGTTCGAACGCCCAAGCACAGCACTCCGCAGCTGAACCTCAACAAGTACCCCGCCCCCTCGCCGCCCCGCTCGCGCACCCTCACCAATCTGTTCGAGCGCCTGAAGCCGCAGGAGCACAAGAAGCTGCAGAAGTACTCCGGCGAGGCGGCGCTAAATGCAACGGAGGACTTCAACCGGGGCTCCACCGTCAGCAAGTCCTTTGTGCAGCAGCTACGCAAACCCTCCCACAAGCAGAAGCGGGCACCCAGGCCGCCGCCCAAGCCGCAGTCCCGCTCCCAGGTGGCCATCGCCCACGTGACGCCCCTCCGCAAGGCCCTGATCTTCCCCAAGCGGTCCAAGTCCTCCAGCGAACTCCTGCTCGACGATCTGGGCGTGCAGGCGCGTAAGTATCAGCGCAGGATCGAGCAGGGATCGGCGCTGTAGACAGGACCAGTGGGCACCCCGTTATGCACCCGTTTCTCACCCGTTGACCAGTTGCTCAGCCCCACCTAGATATTAAAACGATTCCATTTCGCATTTCGTATTTCCGTTTACCCAGAGGCGACGCTTTTGTAGACTAAGTGACCCCCACCAAGCCAATCCCAAATACAAAACGACCCGACCCCTTACCTTCGACTCCGATCAAGACCCAAATCCGAATCCGATGTAGATGTGGAAGGAGTGCAGCTATCCCGCCGCCATAATGGAAGACAAAGATACGACCCGAAGCAAATCCAAAGAGAATTGAGCCATACGTGGAGTAGCACCCGAACTAAAGAACTAAAATAATTTCGTAACTTACCCGTAACTTACAATTAAATTAAGCCAACGTACGTTACTCGAAATGCATGAAAATCAAATCAACGGATGACTAACCGTATTTATATATACAAGCATATATAAATATATACATATACATTACTGTACAAATAGGATCGCAGATGCCCCGAGATCGGGTATAGATATGGAAATATGAAAAACTGAAAATCAAACGACAAACAGTGCTCTCAACCTAGTAAATAACGAGTACAATTTGTCTCTTCAATTATTATTTAACTTCATCAAGGAATATACCATAGTCCCGATATACATCTATACATTATTCGGATATATATAGCATATAACTGCGTCACTTGTTGTAACTTGTAGGATAATTGCAAAATCAAAGCAAATGTAAACCAATTACAAAAAGGAACATTACTAACTCTTACCTGCATGCAATAAAATATTTGAAAAAGTAAAACCAAGCACAACATTTTTGGGCGGGTGCAACGTAGATTTCCTTTATAATCAGTAACAAACATTAGTCAAACTGAATCAGGGAATCATGGCTCTCGAACAGTCCAGTAGGCGTTGGCTGGACGCAAGAGCAGCTTGTAAAGTCGAATGGCTGGACGTCCCATTATCGGATTAAGGTTTTGCTGGGCAAAGTTCCACTTCAGAAGGAAGACAATGCTGGGAGAAGAGAATACGGTTGGTAAATGAAAGAGGTTTGTATGCAATTCCAACTCACAATCGCTCGGGGCCACACAGACTGCCAGGACAGCTGTCGTGCAACTCCCACGGCACTCCCGCTGGCAATCGGGCGATCTCCTGCTCCCACAAGGACCAACTGTAGCGGGCGGTGTCCTTCTCCATTTCCCAATCCAGATGGGCGGTGGGGCTCTTCAGCACGAACCGCTGCGCCTGGAAGGTGCGAGTCGTCCTGTCCACAAACTCCATCACGAAGAGCAGCTCGTGGTCGCGCGAGTGGGTCAATGCGTATAGTTTGTCGGTGCCCAGGAAGTACTCTCCCGCCTCGATGCTGTTGTAGCCATCGCGGTACTCCTGCGCAGTGCGGTGAGTGCCGTTGAATCGCTGTAAGACCAGCGTCCAGCCGCCCTCGTTAAGAGCCTGTTCGCAGAATACGTCGAACGGCTTGCTGCCCTCCTCCAGTTGGATGCGGGTGTAGCCGTACTTTTGAGTCAGCGCACAGTTGCGCAGGAAGCCCAAGTCCTGCCTAGTTTCCGCCAGCTTCTCCGTGGCATTGGCCAGGCGATTAAGCACGGCCGTCTGCTGCTCAATCTTCTCCTTCAAGTTGCGCACGGCCCCGGACACAGAAGCGGTGCTTGCAATCCTATAAGTAAGTTAATTAGAATACCATTTTGTGAACTTTGAAGCTGTAGATGCCTATTGGCCATCTTATAACTTAAAACCTATCTACATCCGTTGATATTCTTACCCTGGCAGTTTAACATGAACTCCGCGCTTTCTACGATGGGATGAGAGGCTGCCCTCCGCACAAAGCATCAGCAAAATTATTCCAAAGACCACACGACTTTTGTACATCTCTTCGCTTTGAGAACTCGAACGTTTGTGGGCTCCAATCCTAACCTTTACATTCGAGGAAGCCTCCGAATCCACTGATAAGGCAGCTGATAGCTTTTACCTTGACCGCGAACTGAGTGCGTTGGCCAAAATCGGCGGCTGCAGCTTATCACTGTGACGCCCCTTGACGCATCTCGTGCTTGCAGAGCTGCCCCGCCCGACTGAAGGTCTTGTCGCACACTTTGCAGCGATGCAGCCCCCAGTGGACCATCAGTGATCCGTTGGTTTTGAAGGTCTTGGGGCAGAGATCGCAGGCGAAGGGTCTTTCTTCGCTGTGCTGGCGCATGTTGGCAGCCAGGCTGGAGAAGGATTGTAGCCACTTGCCGCTTTTTGGGCACCTGTATCTCTTCACCTGAGCTCCCGCACCCGGCCTGCAGCGCATGTGGCTTTTGAGGCCACTGAGATCCGTAAAAAACCGCAGCTCGCATTCATACGTGGAAATGGAGGCATGAACTTTTAGCATGTGGAAACATAGTGCCGCGGATTGCTGGAAAACGGCCCCACAAATCTGGCAGTTGTTGTTGGTCACTTCTGTACGTTTTGCCTTGCAATCCTCTGTAGCCGATTGCAGCATCTCAATGAAGTCGCTGGGATCCAGAGAAATGATTTCATCCGCATGCAGGGGTTCCTCCATGTCCAAATGTTCTCTGGAAGCCTTATCCTTTAACCTTTTCTTCGCCTCCGCGCACTTTTTGCGAAACTTGGCGGCGATGAGCAGTTCGTTGGTGCACTCCTGGCCCAAATACTTTGAATGTCCATCTTTGAGGTCCACCTTCTAAAAAATGAATGCGTAAAGAAACTGGAATCACTCTGGAATTCAATAAAAAAAAAACTCACTTTGAGGTCTCCACAAGGTGGAGGTGGTCACCCAGGATTCTTCCTGTTCCAGGCAAACTCGGCAAAGAAGTCCTCCAAGTTGCAGAGACATTGTAATCGTTTTTAAACGGTTTTATAAATATTTTAGTTCAAACGCCGGTGAGAGTCAAGATAGCGGCGCAGCAAGTCTGAATAACAAACCGAACAGCTGATTGCTCGGTGCAGACTTTAACGGACTTTTCCCCAATTAAATTTGTTCTTAATTCAAAACTCTACACAAATTGTTCTCTTAACCGTTTGGTTACGGCTTTGATTTTTTGCTGGCCTAGGACATTGATGATTTTGATTTAAATACCAATTTTTTCTTATTTGGCGCGCACAGTATTTTGTTTAAAAATGGGCGCACAATTTCAGTGAAAAGTATCGATAACCCAAAACGGTAACAGTATTTTATTTAAAAATAACCGCACAATTTTAGTGAAAAGTATTGATGACCCAAAACGGTAACACTTTGGGGCTTTATATTTTGTTGCTGGAGCTTTGACGTAGGAAAAGTCGTCCCTTTAGTAATTTAATTGGAAATCCATCTCAAGAAAATGCCAGTGAAAAAGGCAATCGCCGAAGCCCAGGTTAGAATGAAACGAAAAAGAATCCTCAAGAAACCATATTATGAGCAGCTTAAAATCGAAACATTTCAGTTACCGGCCGGAAAAGGAAACTGCGTCCTCTGCGCAATCGCAGCGGAAAGGATCTGTCAGCGTTGCGGGGACTTCTACTGCTCCAAAGACTGCCAGCTGAAGGACTGGCCACGTCATCGCTACATCTGCTTTCCGCTGCCTGCCTTAGTGAGTCCCTCTTCCCATTCGGTGCACCAGGGCAGCGGGGAATTATCTCCAGAGGCAGCCTGTTTGGTTCGTGCCGATAAAACCGAAGCGATCGTTGCATCTCAAGCTCCTTCTCCGATACTCAATCCTAACCCAAAGCGCGATAGTATCTGCAGTGGCATTAGCAATGCTAGCAGCCTCACACCCAAAAACAATAATGCTCCCGCTCCGATCGCACCCTCCATCAATTACGTCTCAAATAACAGCGACAACAAAGCGAAAAACAAAATTACCTCGCCGCCAAAACCGATCATGCCACCAAGCAAGAGTCTTGTGTTCATCACTGCATTCCGATCCGCCAATCGTTGCTGTATCCGCGATGCCAGCGAAACTGCTGACAAGGCATATACCCAAATGTGCGAGAAGGTTTGTATATATTCAGATTTCTGTACCCCCAAAATAAAACAAAGAAACACAATCCGTATAACCGGAAAGCGTTTGGCTTAAAAGTTTTCAAAAAATTGTATTAAAAATTAGAGTACAGTTTTTTTTTTTTGCCAAACGAATTTTAATTTTTTAAGTTGATGTTCCTCACTGCAGCATTTACCAACGGAAATACAGTACTTTTTGATATTGAACAATTTTAAAACCTCCACAGGTCAATGCCATGGGAAGTCAGCTACCCAGAGTGGCTAAGCCACGTCCTGGTTTCTGCCTGGCCTATCACAACGGGATGTTCCTGCGGGCCAAGATTACGCCCCCATACAACAATTACTCCGCCAAAATACTATTTGTGGATCTGGGAGTCGTCAAGTCGAGATCAGTCTCGGACATGAGGGAGATTAATGAAGAACTGCTGTCGCTGCCCTGCTTCAGTGTGCAGGTGCAGCTCAAGGATGTGCCAAATTATGCCATCACCGACGAAGTCATCGCATTCGTATCCCAATTTGAGGGCGCAAAGTATGTGGCAGTTTATCAAAAAACACCCGGTGCCATCTATGTGGAACTAATTCATCCGGAGACCAACATTTCGCTAAATGAAAAAATAAATGAGTTCTGCGCCAATAAGGTAAATTTGTTTAATACCGTAAACAAAGAGCCTTCTAAGCAGCAAAACTCAACAACTGGACATATGTCCAATAAGCCTCAAGAACCTTTAGCTGTTCCTGGAATTAGTCATAATAACCAACCTAAAAGGGAAACCGTGTGCCAGGATGTTTTAAAAAAGGTAGAGACTGAAAAGGAAAAGAGTTTCAGCGAGTTAATCCCGCTAAACTCTAAAGCCATATCTTCATTGACGGACAAAAATAATGTTACACCCAACCTGCAGAATTCCCTAATTGGGTGCGAGTCAAATACACCCAAACAAACTAAAATGGTTTCTGATATCGAAAGTAATGATCCTTTAAAACAAGGGTCTCCGACAAAAGAGACAGTGGATCAGAAAACTTTAAAAAGTATAGGGTCTAAAATTGATAGTAAAAGCGATTCCGTTCAAGTGGAAAAGTTGATTACCGCTGACGAGCATTTAAAACAAATTAATCCAACAAACCTCTTTACCGAGTTTTTCCGATTCTACAGTAACAAATCCGATGATAAAGACCAGGTTGTTGTTCCAAGAGAAATCTTTTCTGATTTTTTACGTTCCCACGTAAACGCCATTGATGCTCCTCTATTCAACACTTCAGCTGAAAATAACAATACAAAGATTGAACCAAAGGCAGATGAAATCGTCCAGACTTCACAGCAAGAGCCAATCGCTGAAGAAAAATCTAACAAACTCAAGTATAAAGAAGACTCCAACTGTGCTCTTGGATTAATAGATAGTGAAACACCCAAAAAGGATGAAAAAATGACTGCTTCCAAATCATCAAAACCAGATGATGAATATAAAGATTTTTTTACGAAATGTTTGACTTCAACATCTACTTTGCCTAGTGCAAATGTAAATAGTGAAAAGCCGGATCAAAAAGAATTATCAAACCTGAATGAAATATTGGATTCTCTGTGCATCGCTAAAACAAAACCACAGGAAAACGGAACTGTAGGGACCAAAAAGGAACCTGTGCTGAAAGCTGTGAGTAGGTACTTTTAAGTGTAAACGTAAAATATTTATTTTTATTTTTTTTAGCCGTTTGATCTACGCCGCTTCTCAATTGAAAGTAAGGATGGAATCAATGTATACGTCGTGGACAACTCCAAAATGGCTCGAGGAATTTTTGGGGCATTTGACAGCAAGTACGCCACTGAATTTTCCTCCTTGCACTCTCGCCTGTCGGTAATCAGTGACTCGGAGCCGTATAAGCCAGCGTAACTATTTCCTTACTATCTCTCAAGTTATAGTAAGTGTTTATATTTTTGTCTCCTTTGACAGTCTTAGGGAATATATACTAGCCAGATTTGAGGATTCCTGGTATCGCGGCAGAGTGGAGCAGATTATTTTCTCAAATCAGTCGACTCTCTACCGCGTGTTGTACCTGGATTACACAAATGTGGAGGATATATCTGAAAGCGATATTCGGCGCTATCCATCGGACTTCAACACTCCTTGTAATACCAACCTTTGCGTTATTGAAGGTTCGTTACATTCTTCGATAAATTCTAATTGTTTTCTAACATTTAAATGTTATCTTTACAGATTTTCCACATAAGACGAATGCAGCACAGATTTCCTATTTATCGGAGGCCTTAAAAGTTCACCAACAGGTGCACGTTGATGACGTTAGATATATCAACAATATAGCGATGATCAAATCCCGAGCGCTAATCAACAAGCTCATGAGTTTGTAATCCGTTTGTAATGCATGACTCCCAGAGTATTGGTTATGAAAGAGATTCATGTTTACTTTCGTCGAAATCATTTTATGGCTGATACAAGACTTTGCCACAATCTCCAACCAGACCAAATAATAACGTTTTTATCAATTAAAAACATTTATATATAAATAAATTCAATAAAATAACAACGTTAAAAGCTGTTAATACACAATTATTATGTTCCCTAGCTAGCTGCCGTTGATTCGCGATTTTTGCATTAGAAATTACACACAACAGGGTTACAACAGATTAAAAGACGTGCACAAAGGGTTTTAGTTTGGTTTTTGTTTCTCGAATGTTAAATGGTAGAGAAAGCGGGTCAACAACGACAAGGCACTGTTTGGTGTGGCTCCAAGGCTATGGTTCCGGGCAATTAAACGTTCTTCTTCATAGTCATTTCGTGGGCGGTGCGCAGGCGACGTCGCAGCTCGTTGGGGAAGCGCTCATAGCACTTTTTGCACACCGGCTTTTCGTCGTACTCGTAGAACTTGGACTTCTGTGTCATCTTCGTATCGCACACAGAGCAGGCAAAGTGGTGAACACACCAGGCCTTGTTGAGGGCAGTGAAAACTGTTCAAGAAAATACGGCATCAAAGAACATCCACTAGCTTATTTTTGCAATGTACTCACCATCGCCTCCGATGACCTGGTTGCAGACGAAGCACAGGTTACCGAAGAGCTGATGATAGTGCGTCTCGCAGTAGGCCAATCCCCGTTTCTCGTAGTGCCGGTGTCCCAGGAAGGGCTTCTCGCACTTGGCGCACACAAAGTGCTCCACATGCCAATGCTTGCCCAACGCCGTGACCACGCGCTCCTCAATTGGCCGACGACAGGCGCCACATATGGGAATACCCATTTTATCGTGGCAACGGAGACAATACAATTCGTTCTGTAATGATGTAAACAACAGTCAGTTCCATTACACTTTGGGAACTTTCATAAACCAACCATATCGTTTGCAGCCAATCCTGGTCGACTCTTGACCTCTCGAGCCGTCGAATCCAGTTCGGTACCACAGGCCGTGCAACTGAAGTGATAGCCGTGGTAGACTTCGCCCCGGAATCGCAATGGCTCCTCGTCGATGAGGCCGCTGAAAAGAAGGCAAATTAGCAACGTACATTTTCGCACTGACTGTCATAACTCACTGGCATTTTTGGCATACATAGCGGCCGGTGATCTCCGCCTTAACCTTGGCATTGCACTCGTGGCACAAGGCGCGGTTCTGGTTCTTGATAAACCCGCAGTCGGCCAGCTCCTTGGCGCACAGTTGGCAGCGGAAGCACTGTGGATGCCAGCTGGCTGACATTGCCTTGATGACCCGCCCGATGACGAACTCGCCGCACTTGTTGCAACAGGGCGCAAAAAGCACGTGAAAGTCGCGCTCACAGTACTTTCGGCCTTCGAACTCGTAGAAGATGCCATCCTGGAAGGGTCGAAAGCACTGAGCACACCTAAAATATGATTTCATATTATTAACCATTAAAAGAAAAACCGTATTCTAAAATGAGAATCTCTACAGAATTAAAAAAATGAATAACTTTTGATAATCATATTATGGAAAATAGCTCTTGCATTAATCATGCGAAATTTTTAAACGAGAATAAAAACACTTATCGCTTACTTTCTTCAAACATTTTTAAAAGCAAAAAGGAAAAATATTTTAATCGCATTAAAATAAAAAGTTGTAAACATTTTTCAGAGTAAATTTAGCCTCTTTGGACTTACACAAAGCATTGGGTGTGCCAGAGTTCTCCATTAGAGTTGACAATCTTTTCGGTAGGTTCGAATCCATCGGCGCAACGAGTGCAATGCATTGCACCCAGCGACATGTTTGCTGCCTGGACTCTGGAAATTCACGAGAGGATTTGCATAAGTTATTTGTATAAGTGTAATATTCCAGGAGCCTTTACACTTCAGCCTTAGAATACATCATGATGGAAGCTTAAGCACGAAGGAACACAACTTTAGGGCAGGGTTTTAAGTGAGAAACTGGACAAAACAATGAGACTTATCGTTTCGACGACTCTGTCGGCGATGGCTGAATCACATTTCAGTCTGACTGTCCAGTCAAAGAGCTTTTTGGCATTCCTTTGACTTGCAGCTTTCGTCACAGCGAGTCTCGCATGTCAGTTGGACATCAAGCGTTAAACGGTGCGGGTGTGAGACTTCAGTGATGGGTAAGATATCAATTTTTATCAGGTAGAATGCAATATACATATAGATATATATGCGCAAAAAAGATTTCGATATGTAGTTTTCTACCTGATGGTATAGGCAGCCATGATTTCAAAAATATAGGAATGAGACCTGGCTTGACGTAATTCTGTAATCTTGAATCGTCTTTATGCATGATATATATGATTATAACATGATTATAACTTGATTATAACATCTGATAGATAGAGGTACGTAGAATTGACATTCACTTAAAAATTCCGTCACTTTGAAATCGGTTAAAATAATGTTGTGGGCTCTGACAAGTGCAATATTGTGTCACCTTTTTGTCAAACATAAAAGAACTGGTAAGTCTGGAACTCTAATAAATCAATTAGAAATTGGCGACGTTATACGCTTCGGATGGGCGATTTTGAGAAACCTTTCATAACCATTACGATCATAACCATTTGACTTTTTCCAAATCAATACTTTGTAATGTTTTTTTAAGGATTAGTCATTGTTTGCTCACGATGTCCAACATAAAAATGGGAAAAGTTACAATTTTAATGAATGAGTCTCAAGTTCGGAACTAGAATTCGATTTTGGGTTTGCCGCCAACACAATAACGGCCCACTCATCAAATCCGACAAACACAGACGCAGAAACAAATAGTAAACATCACACGGACACGTTCGCACACAGTCCCAAGTGGCGGCGTTTAAAAATAAGTTTGAATGTGGCCATGACGTCATCGATGGAGTAAACATCTGGCAGGAATAGTGCATCCCATAGGGGTCTAATTTACCCGCATGAGTTCCTGGCGGTAAAAGTCGGATGCGGGCATAAATGAGTGACATTATTAGCCTTTAACAGTTAATTTTTCTAGTATTTAGCGATATGCGAAATAATGCGAAAGGGCCACGATGATTTTTGGGTTGCCAAATGATGCAATAAATGGGCGTTTTTAAAGCCAAGGACGTTTGAAAAGTGGAGCGGAACATTCTTCTTACTGCACGGGCGGCATTCTGTGGATTTTTCTTTTAGCTTTTCAACTGGCTTTCACTTGCGATCGGCACCTGTTGCACCTGGTCTACGACTTTTTTGGATCACGACGAGCGAAACACTGCAAAACATATAGAAATGATCAATCTGTGCCTTCTGGCTTTCCGGGATGTCACTTTGGCGCGCTTCTAGCCAGATCCGGTTGATTTCCAGCAAAGTAGACAAGCTGCACATCTCTCACTCGGCACAAAAACAACAATGGGCCTTGCCAAAATGGGCAAAACATTGGAATTTCTCTAATTACACTTGCCATTCGCTTAGTTGATCAACATATTTAAAAGGAAAAACCTTTCTACCTTTTAAGAACACTTTTTAATTAAAGCCTCTGCTTGAGTGAACAAATTGTTAATTAATTAACAGCTTCCGTGGAAAAAGACGCAGAAAAACCAACTCTATTTGGGCCTAAAAAATCCCAATAAAATACCTGTCTATCGATAACGTAATCAGATCAAGCGTAAGGTAGCCCTGTAAAATCAATCGAGAAATAACCTAAGCGCCAATTCAAAATTATAGTATCTACAAAACTCGTTGCGATTAGTGTTTATTACCAAAATATATTGTTAAAGAACTTTACTATTTACGGCGCCAAGCTTATCACTTGCTGGCATTTTTTGTTCTTTGTCTCACGCTCTAATCAACTGCTGACCAACTGTTGATTTTTTTAGAAAAGGTTTCGTAACGCATTCTTATCAGTAAAACTGACATATATATAAGCAGTCATGTACAATTTGTTTATAAACAAGCGCTGCTCTCATGTTAGTTTGAACTGCAAACAGCAGGAAACCCCTTGACATTGAACTTGATTGATTTTCATGCAATGTTATTTTGCACTAAAGAAAACAATAATTCAATGTCGCATTCCCATTTTATGATCATCAGTATGCATAAAAAGCTAATTTTTAAGTGATATTATATAGAAAATTAAAAAAAAAAAAAAACAAGTCTTGTCCTTTCGTAAATATGTTTGTTTTCAAAGATCTTTACTTTAAAGTTTATTATTTAAATTGAATTTCCGGTAAAATGTATTTTTGAGTGCACACCGTAGGCACATATAAATGCATTATTTGTATGTTTTAATTGTTTTACCGAACGGTTGTTTGCCTGTATTTGTTTGCGCCAAACTTCCGCCTTGTGGGTGTGAGGGTCATATTTTCGTAACACCCCTCGCCGACTTCCGCAATGTGAAAAGAGATAAAACCTCCAGCTGCAGTTTCGGGTTTGCTTTATTTGTATCGCTTTATGGAGCGTTGTCCCGTTAAAACGGGTTGCCAGGCGAATCGATCAGCGCTCTTTGTTTATCAATCTCACTCTTTTGTCAGTCGGCTTTATTTGTTATTATTAAATGAGTTTTTTTCCAGCATAACAAAACAAACAAGGAGGGCGGCAAGGCCGTAGAGCGTGTGAGCGAGACGGCAGAGCAACAAGCCCCATAAGAACAACATGGCTTCCACTCCACATACCAATACCATCCAAAAACACTTAAAGAAACTCCATAGGAAAACAAATACATACGAGTATATGTATTAAACCACTTATTCTCAGTAACAACAAATTCTTGTTGAGATTAGTTACGTTTATTTATAGCAGCAAACAATGTTACTTGTTCTTTAAATTATTTGATAATAATTTTAACCTGTAATAAATACATATGTATATGTATTATAAAATTCTTTAAGTTCTTTCCGTGCAGACTGTCACATGCTTGAAAAGGGGGGTGGAAATGGAGGGGGGCAGGTGGAATCGGAACCTGGAAACCGGGGACCCGGTCTTCGAGACTTTCGGCACGTAGCGACGCGTAGCTGTAAGTTTATTACGCATGTTTTTATGCTGTTGTTTACCAAAAATTCGCCAAGGCAAGCCCTCAACCCCAAGCACTCAAACTGTGACTCGGGCGTATGAGCAACGTACTCAGAAACATATGGCAATCGGTGGAATGTGGAAACTACAAGCGGATGCAGATGCAGTTGCAGTGGGTGTCTAAAAATAAATTCAATTATGCTCTCTATTATTGCAGCTGGGCTCCAAAGCCGGCAAACCAGATGGACAACTAGTACCAATACTGGCAGGGCTGTAAGCTGAATGTTTTCCAAAGGGGGTTTTTAAGTTTCATTAAGTTAACATTTTTTTATATTTTATACTACATATGTATGCTTTTAAGAATATGTATTTATATAGCTAAGATCTAGGATTTAACGGTGTTTATCCCCAAGGCTGTGCCCCCCTTACGAAAAGCCCCTGTATTTTTGTGTGGGTTTTTTGGAGTTGCACAAACCATGCAGCTGCATGGAAAGCTCACAATCGGAGCTTCGAAGCTCGTCCATTCATCTTTTTGGCCGATTTCTGGGCGTTGAGCTAGAGCTTGGCATAAAAATTCAAAGTATGCGGTCGCGTTGCATAAAAACGCAATTATAGCGCTGACCGCGTCCGCATTGCATTTGGGCCCTGTCTTATCGCCGTTTGCTGTTTATCGTTATTGCTCGAGCGAGCTTATCAAGAAATTTCGAAACAGAAATCCACCTTACGGGGGACTTTACTTGAACTGAAACGTTTTACCTCGGCACGTGAATACAATCAAAAAATTCCGTTGCCGCAAGAAGATACAGTCTGACCCCCATGCCCCAAAACACTAAAATTAAACACATTTATCATTACCATGGAAGCAATGTCTTGGGTTTCATAAGGTTATATACATATATTTTCTGCTTTATTTTGACAATTTTTAATTTCACCTTTTCGAGATATTTTTTATATGTATAAATTATTTATATTTGGATTTGCGAGGATTGACTGTAAATTATTCGATTCGCAGTGCGTGGGCGCCGGAAAAGGGGAAACCCGGGGAAAAGAGTGCAATCCGGTTCCCGTGGGCTGCATATTTGGAGCGTTGGCACCGGTAAAAGCAATTTTCCCGCCTGCCAAAGTTTACTTTCCATATGCAGTCGGTCGGCAGCCAAAAGGCGAATAAATACAATTTTTATTTATTTCTTGGCAACGCGTCACCTTTTGGCGCTTGGCAACAGCGAATTTCAAACAAAGGCAGACGGCGAAAATGTTGACAATTAAAACCGAAAGCCAACACAAAATCTGTGTGCATACATATATTCGAGTGGTGGCCCCACACAAATGCATTGCCGGCGACCTGTTGTCGCCAAGGTGCGATCGTTAAGTTTTATCATTCGGACCTATTACAAAGTTCATTACCAGGGAATACTAAAAATAGCCGGTAAATTCTGGACCTTTCCGCTGTTTCTATTAAAAACTAGCCCACTCCAACACTATCTGAGGGTTACGATAGCTAAAGCTAAAAGCTTTTTCGTAATTTTTTTACATTGAAGATTAAAGAACAGAAATAGTGTGCATACATACATATGTATGTCGCTCTGAAAATATCAACAAATTTGAAATTCTGTTTATAGAAATTTGAGCAAGATAAAAACGTTTTAAGCCAAGGGTAGTTAACCCCAGAACTAGTTCTAGAAATTCCTGAAATATGTCAGCTAAAGTTTAAATTGGTCATTACTCAAAAGAAACACAACAAGTTTATTTAAATGCTGAATATTTGAGAACAGGTATGTTTGTTTGAACTATTAACTGAAGTAGTAGTATTTCGAAAGAACGGACTTAAGCACCCAAACTTCTAATTCGACCCACTCACGTGAAGGCAACCAAAGCGTGTTCAGCTGTCCATTTGTTTTGCACCGACAATGTCATTAGCACTCGAAAGAAAGAATCGGGCACAAAGCAAAACAGCAGATAACTTGCGGATCGCCGAGAACAACAAAAAATAGTAAAAGTACATATACTCGTATGTTAGTATGTGTGCTTAGTTAAAAATAAAACTATTCAGCCTCTACGATGTCGTTGCCGTTGCCAGTGTGACGTAATTCGCAATGGAATGGCAGCTGAAATGCGAAAAATTGCAATCTCCTAGTACCAGAGATTAGCTCAAAGATACGTACTATATATGTACATATATAGACATCTGGGAGAGTCGTCAGCTGTGGGGAGATCGAGCCACTAATCGCATGTTAATTGATAACGAGCACAACAAACTGCCAGGTAGCCAGGTGCAGCGCAACACTCTCGACTCTGACGCACATTATACAATAGCCGGTTGAGTGATAGAATGCCAAGCAGCACGATAAAGTGAGCAAAGTAGGTATGCAAAATAAAAAACAAAATAAAACCAGTTTGAGGCGGTGGAAAAACCCTTTGGGGGAGTGTGCTGCCTTCCCCCCAAATAGGTGGGGTCACATGACCTCGAGTCTTTGGGGAGGTGCGATCCGGTCTGGTCAAGATACTGAAGATCCAACGAGCATATGCTTTTAGCAAGGGTAACTATAGGGCAATCACTACTCAGAATCAACAAGTGACACGCCCCTCCCCAGCGAAGTAAACATTTTGATTAGTGTCTTGATTAACAATTGCTTTTATTCAGTTTTTATATGTATAAATGTTCTTATTCTCTTATTTTTAGCGTATTTAAATATGTATACTCGAACTTCGATTTCCATATGTAGGCATAATTTTGCAATTTCAAAACCAATAAATAAGCAACAGCGACCAACGATTAAAGATAAAAGAAAACACTAGCTGTTCTTTTCAACTTCCTGACCGTACCAACTAAGTTAAGATAGATATATGTATTTCGTTACGCTTCAAGTCTTTCGATTAGTTTCGCTCTTTCGATTATTGGCTATGCATTTGCATAGATCAAACAGTACGGTTTATTTTTCTTTACTTAAATTTTTAACTCGTTTACAGCAAAAATAAACCTTTTGGCTTTTTGATTAATTGCTGTTATCTATAGTTATTTATGTATGTACACGATTTTTTCACTTACAAGCAGGCGAAAGGCACTTGAACAAAGAAACAAACAAACAAACAAGCGACGAGTACGCCCAACTTACTACCATATGCACAAGATATAGCCGTCTATATCCGTATGCATGTGTCACCTATTTATGTATTTGTGGCTGGTGCTAAACTGCTGCATCGGAAACTTTGAAACGTGACATGAGCTCTCTACTCCTATGTACAACTTAGATGGACCAGAGCCTACAAAAGCTTATATATAGTATTTACATAACTGATAATAATAAATAGCAGCCTATTAACTCAACTTAACACAATGGCATACATAAATAGTGGGGCGGGTCAAATTTCTTGCCGACAATCTTTGGACATTCTTCAGCAAGGGCTCAACGGAAACGATTGGTCTAAGCTTCTTTTCTATCATTCAGGAAAATTGCTGATAAACATAAACCATTTTCTAGCTGATAAGGAACAAACTGCATCAAATTACTGAGCGATTTCCGTTTAAAAATAAAAATTTAAATTACAAAATTGTTCAAATCAAATCTTTTATCAGAAAATTAGTTTATTTTATCAATTGTATCTTCCTGATCTACTTCAAATATTAAAAAATCTTTTCTTCAAATAATGAGCCCTAGACCCATGGTTTCCTAGGCAGTTTTCCTATGTTTTCCCCTTAACTTTTCCTTGCCTTTCTTAAGCTGACCGCCCTCATACAAATAAGGACTAACTAATGACACTTCTGGGGTTATAATCCAAATCAGTTGCTCATTTGGAGGCCGCCGCTGCTGCGACTGCCCGTCGACGAGGAGCCCGTGAGCCCGAACTGCGAGACCAGCTTGTCGTAGTCCTCCAGCGAGGTCTCGAACTGCTCCAGTTGGCGGGACAGATCATCCATGGCGCTGGCATCTGCGGCACTGGTGGCAACTGCAGCGGCCGCCGCAGTTGGGCCACACGCTGCTCCTCCGCTGGAGCCATTGGTTACGGGTGAGGTCGAGCAAACTGAAGAGATCTCTGCCTGCAGTTCGTTGAGACCCTTGAGCGGTGGCGCATGATAGCACTCCCTGTAGAACTTGGCCAGATCGTTGACATGCGAGGTGGGCGAGGCGAAGGGGAAGTGCAGCTCCTTGAGCAGGTTGTCATCGTCTGGCGTTGGCTGAAGCGCCGGTTCCGAATGGTGACGATACGTTGCTGTTGCACTGGCGGGGATTAGCAGGCTCTTGATGGGTGACACCGAGTTTCCGGAGTTCTTCTCGAAACTCTTGAAGCCCGCCGAGTTATTGTTGAGATTGCTGCTCTGGTTAAATTTACTGTCCTGTGTATTGTTGTTGTTATTGATGCTCAGCAAACTGCCGTTGGTATTGTTGTCCAGGCGGTTGAGAGACTCCACAGAGCCACGTCCACGCAGGAGCCACTCGAAAGGCGGCGTTTCGGGCAGCACAAAGTCGTCCTCGGTGTACTGCTTTAGTTTGCCCATATCGGTGAAGGCTCCCGGTCGCAGAGGCTTCTCAATGTCGATAAAGCGTCGATCGCCAGAGCCCTGGCCGGGATTTAGGGCACCCAAGCCCAGTTTCTTGGCCACAGCAGTGCCGTTTTGGACTTGCTGCTGGTTGTTCGGTGTGCTGGCATCTGTGGCGGGCCTGAAGTGATCCGACTTCAGCATGATGGTGTTGCTCTCTGCCTGCGCTGCCGTGGGCGAAATGGTCAACTTGGTGCGGTAGGCCACGGACATGACCAGTGAGCCCACAATCGTGCTCAGCTGGCCGATCTTCACGTGCTTGTGGCCCTCGCCCAGGGTGTGCACCTGCGGCCTGTCCACGTAGATCCTGTAGAAGATACCGTACGAGTCAGAGCACTGACGACGCGACAACTTGTAGGCGGGCGTGGTGCGGGTCAGGGAGATGAGGGACTTGAGCATAATTCCCATACGGTTGTAGATGGCGTGGGCCGCCTTCAGAGTCTGACCGTCGGGGTTCAGGTCGTTGGCGACTGGGGAGGACCCGTTCTGGGATTGAACGAGGTCGAGGGACCACACCTCGAGGACCATCTGGTCGCCCTCGGCAGTCTTTAGCGAGATTTCCACGCACAACGGCAAGCGCTGCAGGATGCTCTCCCCAGTCTTTAAATTTAAGGCTCTCTTCGTCTCATCCAGGACCTCCGGATGGTCCTGCACGGCAATGTTGAACCAATCGCTGCCCGCCAGCGGATTGCATTGCGTCTGCATCTTCTCGCCCAGCCGGGATTGAACCACCACCTGGGTGGATTTCAAAACAAGGAACTTGATGAACTTCTCCAGATCCCGCTCTGCTGCGTTTAGTCGCTGCGCCGACATTTTCTCGGTTTTTCTTTGTTTTCCCTCTGTGTGTTTGCAATTGTCTGTGTCCAAAGTTCGCTGTCTGCGTTTTGGTTTTTCACTTTTCGATTTCCGCGTTTGTGTTTGTTGCGATTTTCGCGTTTTCAGCGTCGCGCACTTTACCTTCTAGGCACTGCTAAACGTAATTAAAACTTGCCCGGGCATTTTGCCAAAACACTCTCATTTGTGCAACGCCCTTTCACTGCGATTCCGTGTTTTTGTTTGTACGCAAGATCACTCCCACTATTTTCGTAAAATCAGCGTCAGCGTTAGCCATTGAGAAAACAATGTGACCGTAGCACAAGGCAAAGAAAAGCAAAGGACTGGAAGGGCCTAAAAAATACCAGCAAGTGATAAGAGTATTCACAATGATTTCGTGATCGTGACTGCCCACCTATAATTTATTTTGTTAAGCAAATAAATAAGATTGTATAATATTCAATATTTTTCCCACATTTTCTCATAATCGGCATTTTTGTCCGATATTTTTTTTAATTTTAATTATGGTACCCCTTGTCAAATATCCGAAAAATGGGTTCGTAGAAAAACGACCAAATCTCAGCATTTCCATAACCTTTTCAATTGTGATCCGATTTAGACGCGGCATATTTCCTAAAGTTTGTTATTAAATTTCCCAAATACCTATATTAATAGAAATTTTATTTAGTAGCATCTGGCGTAAAGGACTGGATTAAGCAGAACAAAACAAAAATGCCCCTAATAGATTGGTACAGCTAAAATTAAAAAAACTATCAAACACTTTATTGGGGTCTCACCCCATTCTAATGTTTCCCAAATATGTATTTATTATTTTTTGGGGACTGATTACATTGTAGGCAGTTCTTAGCTAAAAATCACTTAGTGCTAAACGCACCCATTTATCCGAGGTGTGGCTGTTGCTTGGAGAAGTACAACCTTCTGGCAACGCCATGTGCCTAAATGATACACGTCACGTACGCAAAATGGCGCGCGTTCAATTTAAAATTCTATATGTTGGGGCCCTATAAAAATAACACGACCTTTGAAAATATCACCTTGGAATAGACCCGGAAGGCTAAGAATCGCCGCCACCCCTTGCCTGATCGTCTTGCCGACAGAAGACCTCCCGATCTTGGGAGGTCAGGACATGTTTGGGCAGATATCGAAGAACTGATGCGGGGACCTTTCCCAACATGGCCAGTCGCTCCTCCTTGATGCGCTCCTGTTGCTCGGCGTCCGATTTGGCCTTCATGTCAAAGTACTGGACACTTTCCGCCGTGGCATCCGCCCGCTTTCTCTGATTATCCTCGATCATGGCTAGCAACATGGCTCCGTGTGCCCTCCGCTTGCGGTAATCCTCCAATTGCTTTTCTGTCTCCTGGTTGCTAACTTCCGGCGACTCCTTTTGACGCTTGGCTATCTCCGTCCGCTTAAGCTGCATCTGGGCCATCTTGCGGTGCTCCACCTCCTGGCGATAGCGATCCAATTCTTCTCTGGTGCGCCTGCGCTCCATCTGCTCCTGCTGCATCTGCTGGCGGAAGCGCTCGTCGCTCTTGGCCGTGTACTCCGCCTCTAGAAGATCCAGGAGCAGATGGTCCCGATGGCGCTTTTGGTTCTGCAAAGAGAAGGGGTTTTGGTGGGGATTGCATTTCTTTTGCCTAGACCACTTACCTCTATTTCCAGGACCTGCTGGCCCAGGCGAATGCTGATCTCCTGCTTCTTACGCTGCACCGCCTGGCGTTCTTCCTCAAGCTGCAGCTTTCTGCGCTCAATTTCGGTCTGTTTCTGGAACAGATCACCTAACTCTTGGTTATTCTGCGCCCGCTGCCTTTCCCTGTGTTCTTGGTTCTCCTTGATGGACTGCAGCATGTCCTGGCGTTTTTGCAACTTCTTTCGCTCCACTTCCAACTGGCGAGCGCGATCCTCATCCTCGATTTGCTTCTGACGCAGCAAACTAAGCTCTCTGTCGTTCATCACCTGGGCTTGCTCCTGTTGGCGACGCCGACGGTTCTCCTCCATTTGTTTTGCAAGGGATTCCCTGAGACAACGTTGCTCCTCCTTAAGAGCGGCTTCCTTCTCGCGCTGTTTGGCCTCCCACAGACATCGCTCCTCCGCCACTTCCCGGGCCTCCACTTTGACTGCCAGCTGTCGCATGCGCTCCCTCTCCGCCAGGTTCTCAGCTATTTCCTTGGAAATGGCAGCAAGACGCAGTTGCTCCGCCAATTCGCGCAGTTCTTCGCAATCCCGGCGCAATTGCTGGCGGCGCTTCTTCTCCACAAACTCATCGCGCTTTAGCTGCTGCATTTCCTGCGTCATCACCGACTTCTCGATGAAGTCCCTGGTCATGGGGTTCTCCCTGGAGCGCTCCATGCTACGGTTTACCTTCTCCAGGTCGTACTGCATCTTCTGCAAGAGCCGCGAGCTATAGAAGTCGTGTTCGACGCGCAGCGACTGTGGCACTTTGAATTGCGGTTTTCCGATGTCGAAAAAACCAGACTCCTGGTTAACGCGACTTCTACCGGTTGCCATGGTGTTTCAAAGGTGCAATCAAAAACAACTTAAAAGCAATAAACAAAATAAAGTAAAAAATCAAATGGTTGGGTAGTTAACTAAAAGAACATTTAACTCAAAGATAACTATGTCGTTACTCTTAATATCTCCATTGTTTTTCCCGTTTTGTAATAAATCCTTAATATGTAAAGTTTACATTGTAAACATTATAAAGGTCCTTGTCGGCGGCTGCTGTGAATGTCAAATGCGATCGAAAGGTTAATAAAATATCATTCACTACGAAACCTTGCGGATTTTTATCCCCCATAAAATGAATTTCAACTCCTGCACTAAATTTAAATAGACGCTGTCATTTAATGACTTTTTATAATTTGTTTGAAAATCATAGTTAACAAAATGGGAGAAATTGTTAAATGCTAAATGTTTTCAGTTTTTGAAGGCAGTCGGGAAGTACTGCTTGTCCTTCTCCACGATGCTTTCCAGCAGGTCGTCGATGTCCGTTGTGGGATAGCGCTCCACCCAAGACTGGATGTAGCCCTCGTGGCTGGGCTCGTAGGTCTTCAGCTGCACCTTCTGGTCCTTGCCCACCACCGTGTTGGCCTGGACAAGGATCATGCGTGGCTTCTTATGCGCCAGGCAGATGTCGCGCCACTTGGCCCACGGATGCGCACCGCTCTCGTCCACCTTTGAGTAGTGTTCGTACATCTTGGAGGCCGCCTCGATGTCGGCCGTCGATTTGTAGACCTGCAGCTTGGTCAAGAAATCGCCCAGCGCCTTCCTGCCCACAGTGTCGATCTTGCTCCGGTCCACTGTCAGCAGAAGATTCTTGCCGCCCTCGGTTTCCTCGACCTTGACGAGTCCCTCGCCCGCCTCGAGCAGCACCTTCATGATCACGAAGCGCGCGCGGGAGTGCGCCTGCAGCCAGAGCTTGGACTTCGGGTTGAACATCTCCAGGGCCACGCCCATTCCGTTCCAGATGAGGCTCAGCCAATTGACGTAGATGATGTTGTCTTGCTCCGCCTTGTCCTTGAAGCCAAAGATCTCCAAGATATCGCGCTGCAGAGAGAGGTAAAGGCCTACGGCCTCGGCGCGGCACTCCTCGTAGGAGGAGCCGATGGCTCCGAACTTGGTGTCGTAGGTCTCGCCGGGGAGGTACCACTTGGAAATGGGTTCGCCGGTGATCAGGTTCTTGGTGTTATCCTTGTCGAAGTTATACACGCCGTCCTCGTCGATCCGGAACAGCTTGCCGCTGCCGTGGCCCAGCAGTTCGTGCAGACCCACTTGTACCTCGAAGGCCTTCACCTTGTACTCCTTCATTAGGGCCTGGTCCTCCTCGGAGAGAAAGGGAATGGGATCCTTGCGGTTGATGTTGGCCAGTACGTTGCCTAGCGAGACGTTCTTAAAGCCCTCGTCCTGCCGGATCTCGTCGTAGTTGGGAATATTGATGCCAGCAGGCACCCCGCTGCCAGCAAAGGTGAGAACATCCAGGGAAGTGAAGTCCGGCTTCAGGTAGGAGTCCTTCTCGTACGGCTCCGTCCAGGGTAGGTACTCAATTAGTTTCTCGGCACGGTTCACCAGCTCGGAGAACTTGGCAGAGCTCTCCTTGTTCACCATGGCCACGAAGCCCTCGAATTCAGCTCGGCCGCCAGCAGGATCCCTGTAAGTCTCGATGAAGCCGATGTAGGTTTCGATTACAGGTCCCTTGTCCTTGATCCACCACCGCGATCCATTCTTGTGCTCGGCCAGCGAGCCCTGCTCAAAAGACCGAACGTAATGCTCGATCATCTTAGACTCGTTTTCGTTGGCCGCGTACTTTTTTGCCTCCAGCAGATGCTGGTTGACGCGCTGCAACAGCTTCTTGTAGTCGCCGCGGGTAACCCGGAACTGGTTGCCCTTGAACTCCTCCAGCGGGAGCGTGATCCCGTCCTGCGAGGACTCCGCCACCGAGCCAAGCTTGACGTCGTAGATGGTCTGACCATTTTCGACCACTTTGAAGGTGCGGCACATGTACGGCTCGATGCGCTTGGAGGTCAGCCAGTTGTTGACAATCTCAGAGTCCTCCTTGGTGCAGTTGTCTGACCAGTAGGTGGTGATTCCGTCGGGGGCAAAGCCCAGGATCTCGTTGCGCGACTCCAACGCATAGATCAGACCCTTGACCTTGTCGAAGATCTTTCCCACGCGGGGCTCCTTAGCATATGCAGCCGAGGACTTGACTATGGCCTCAAACTTTTCCTCGGGCAGATTGGGCACGATCTTGCTGTCGCCCATACCCTTGTAGTTGCCCGCATTGGCGAACACACCGCAGGTGTATACCAGGAAACCCTGAAAATTTAAAGAAGCCATACATTGCAAAAGTGCAGACAGAATGTATATCTTGCTATCGTAAAGGAACCTTGATCAGGGACCTTAAGACCCCATCTCAACTGTCTCCATCTTACCGTGTAATCATCCGCAGAGACTCCCGCCTCCAAGGCCTTGGCTTTAAGCTCGGCGGGCTTCTCGGCCACGAAGATGCGGTGCAGAAGGGAGAAGATGAGCGGCGCCTCAGGGCTGGACTGTATCAGGGCGATGAGTCCGCCGTCCCAGGAGGCCTGGCTGAAGTGGTGTGCGTAAAGCTTCTCCTTCTCGGTAAGATTCTCGAAGGCACTCTTGCAGTCCAGATCAGCGATGGGCTGTGTGTTGGGCAGGACGAAGTGGGCGGTTTTACTGGCCATGTCAGCAGGTTGGGGGAGATTGGCGCTGCAGCTGTAAAGATATAAAGAACCCGGGATAGATTAGATATCTGGCCGAAAGATACCACCTGGCAAATACCTGTAGCGAACGAAGGAGCTACTAAATCCCGAGCTTCTGAAGATTGGCGGGGAAATGTGCCGGATACTGGGACTGCGCCCGTAATTTAGACGAGTACGAGACTGGTAGAGCCTGTTCAGTTGTTGACGGGACCTCTGTAGCCCTCTTAGCCAAAACATTACTGGGGAATTTCGATTCGATACTTTTTTTTGAGGATTTTACATTACTTGTGTAGCTTTACTGGAAAATTTGAAAAGGCAACTTAAATTTTGAAAAAGGCCAAACACATGAAAACTTGATGATGGATGCACTTTTTTCTCTGGCTAACCCACAAAACTGCAGATGTGGCAGTTAAGCGAAATTTTGCCGAAATAATGTAGAAAACAATACTCTGGCTAAAATGGAGTTCCAAAACGTGAACAACTGACAGATCCAAACGGAATGTATGGGGGTTTGAAAAACTAAGTGGTTAGTCAACAGCAAAGCAAACAAAACCCCGTCAGGCAATCGTGTTTTTTTCGGGTAAAAGTATTAAAAATGCAATTTCGTGCTTACGTACCTTTTAAAAGTAAGAAAAATGCAGTGGAAAATGCCGACAAAATTGCAAGTTGTGTAAGAGTGTGACCAGTATCAATGGTTTAAAATAAGATGATTTCTCTATGACATGAGAATGGCAAACAGATGGCGGGTTTTTTAAACACCAGTTAACAATATTTTATTGATTTGCCGTATTTAAACCACTTATGTACAGAAACGATTATAGATTTGCTTTTAGAGAAAAATAGTGCTCAACTAGTTAAAATCAGGTTTTTGATGAAAACAAGTGTACACTTTTCTTTAGTGTTCATAAATTTAGGCGATGATGAAGCCAAGCCACAACCAAATATCACCAGCCAATCCTAGAAAACACAGCACCCAGGTTAATCTGTACAATATGTTGTCCGTACTGCCGCCTTTGAGAAAAATTGGTAAATCGTTGTCCGCCTGAAACTGTTTTCGCAACTTGGCCATCTTCGGAGGTAGCTTTCCTGGCTTTGTCTTTCCACCGTCAGCGGCATACTTCAGAGCAGCGGAGTTACGAAGTAGACGGGCAGGAGTACAAAATGCTCCAAGTTCTCCAGCTCTCCAGAGGAGGGGCTATAAAACAGAAGAATTTAAATGCTTTATTGTTTTAAGATAAGAAATGTACTTACGCGCAGTAAAAGACAGTTCCTTTGCATTTTTGTGTCTATATGAGACGAAATTTTGTCGGCTATGATAAGAGTTCTGCCAGTCAAACAGTTTGTTGAATTTTAATAAGCCTACTTGGCCTACTTGCGATAAAGAAAAACGAATTTTTCAAAAAATATATCACAACAAAATCGATATACACTATTTTTATACATGCACTACCAACAAACCTAAAGTTAGGTCACACTCGGACGCGCAAATTTCTTTTATCGCCAAAATCAAAACATGCTTCCAATTTGCAAGCCACACAATGTCTATGGCTAAATATCTTAATCGATCAGTTGCCAAAGCTGGCATGGATGTGACCGCCAGGATCTGCACCCTGAAACCCACGGAACCGGAGCATCAAGCTATTCACCTGGCCGCCGGCGAAAATTTCGTGGGACGCAGTCGGGAAACCGGAATCCGGGATTCCAAATGCTCTAAGCGACAAATCCAACTGCTCGTTGATCTAAAGAAGGCTGTGGTCGCTCTGAAAGTCCTGGGAGTAAACCCTTGCGGCGTGAATGGCCTTATGGTTATGCAGCACTCGGAATGTGAGCTGAAGCACGGCGATCTGGTAGAGATTGTTTATGGAAGGCATCCGTTCGAGGTTGTTTTCAGTCCTTCGCCAACGGATGATAAAGAAGAAGCTGTTACCAAGGGTTCTTCTTCTTCGGGAACCGAATACGAGAAATGGGACTCCGCTGGCAATGGAAAATTAGTGATTTACACCAGCGCTGGAGTTGTAGCCTCTGAAAAAATAGCCGGCTACGATATGGACGGCACCATCATTAAAACCAAGTCTGGGCTAGTTTTTCCCAAAAACACCGACGACTGGCAAATCATATTTCCCGAAGTCCCTGAGAAACTAAAGAATCTTCACAAGGACGGTTTCAAAATCTGTTTCTTCACGAACCAAGGAGGCATTGCTCGCGGCAAGATCAGCCTAGATGACTTTAAGGTGAAGATCAAGCAGATTGTGGCCAAGCTGGCTGTTCCAATTCAGGTGTTTATAGCCATTGGAGATGGCTTCTACCGCAAACCGCTGACTGGAATGTGGCAGCACCTAAAGAACGAAATGAACGAGGGTGTGGAGATTAAGGAAGATCGTTGTTTTTTCGTAGGCGATGCAGCTGGAAGACCGGAAACGGGCAAGGGAGCTACGAAGCAGCGCAAGGATCACTCTCTAGCAGACAGACTGTTCGCTAGCAACATTGGACTGTCTTTCTACACTCCAGAAGTTCATTTTTTGGGCAAACGAACGGAGCAGTGGAACAAGCCGGAGTTTGATCCCACAGGCGTGCATGAGGAAGTAGCTTTGCTTGATCCAGATGACGTTACTTTCGAGGATCACCCCTGCGAAATGGTTATCATGGTGGGGCTGCCTGGTTCCGGAAAGAGCCACTTCTGTGCCGCCTTTCTGCAATCAAGGGGCTATAAAATCGTCAATGCGGACACCTTGGGAAGCACTCAAAGCTGTGTGACTGCCTGCAAACGATTCCTGGACTCGGGACAATCCTGTGTGGTGGATAACACCAATGTGGATGCTGCTTCCCGCAAAAAGTTCCTGCAGGTGGCCAGTGAACTAAAAATTCCATGCCGCTGCCTGGTGATGAATGTTCCTGTGGCTCAAGTGAAGCACAACATAGCCTTTCGAGAGCTTTCCGACTCAACGCACTCCAAGATCAAGGACATGGTATTCAACATGATGAAGAAGAAGTACCAGGAACCTGCACTGGATGAAGGTTTCAAGTCCATACACAAAGTAAACTTCAAGCCGAATTTCGCCGACGAAAAGCAAGAGAAACTATACAAAATGTACTTAGTGGAGAAGTAAGGAAGTAAAAGAGGTTATATTTAATCCAAAGTGAATATGCGCTTGGCTATGTCGTCTATTAACCAGTCCATAGAGCTGAGAAGCTTCTCGCCAGTCACCGCGCTTACTCCGGCAACCAGCCAATGATGCGTGGTGATTTCCTCTAGATGCAGTATCTTTAAGGATTAAAGTAATTAAATATTTCGTCTTGTTCGAAAAAAATATATGTTGTACCTCCTTAATTTCATTTGATGAAAGGGCACCAGGAAGATCCTGTTTATTACAGAGAACAAGTAGAGTGGCTCCTGCGAGGCGCTCTTCTTGGAGAAGGACTTGCAGCTCCTGGCCGCAGGACTCCAGGCGCATCCTGTCGGCACTGTCTACCACCCAAACTAAACCATCTGTGCACTCGAAATAGTTTCGCCAGTAGGATCGCAATGACTTTTGGCCACCGACATCCCACATATTGAGTGTATAGCCATTGTGCTCCAGGGTTTTTATGTTAAACCCCAAAGTGGGCGAGATGGTGTCTATGGGCTCTCCATTGAAGCGCTTTAGGATCGTCGTCTTGCCGGCATTATCCAGACCACTAAGGAAACATCAGGAATGAATCACTTATCTTTGTTTTAATATAAACGCAAACGTACAGCAGCAATATACGCATTTCCTTCTCCTTTTGACGCATTTTTTTCAATACTGTGAGGAAGCCCATGTCAAAGTTTTGGTTTTTGTAAAGCTACGAGATTATAATTTAATACGTTTAAAGGCAGCTGCTTTAAAATTTCTTTATTTTGTAAATAATTTCCGGGTGAATGGCAAAAAGTGCTGGAAAAGTATCGGGTATTGATTTTCAGTTATCGATATAAAATCGAATATCTTCCAGCTGTAGCTGTCATATTCGAGACCGATATTTTTCGCCCAGGAAAACTGCTCGCTTTTTGCTAAATATTAAAAATAAACGCAAGCAAAATGATGAACTTGTCGAGAGTAAGTAAATTGGGAACGATAACGTACATCATGGGGTTTGCTGGAGTATTACCACGCGTTTCCGGCCTCCAAAAAACGTAGAGCCTCCGCGTAATTACGTAAGTTGCCTGGAGCTCCAAGAACTAACCGCACATTTCTTGTTCTTCCGCAGGCTGTTGTCCGTAGCTTCGCTACCACCGCTGGCCGTAGGTCCGCCGCTGTGCCCAAAGAGCAGATCGAGAAGGGATACTTCGAGATCCGCAAAGTGCAGGAGCACTTCCAGAAGAAAGACGGCAAGCCCGTCTTCCTGAAGGGATCCGCCGTCGACAGCGTGCTTTACCGGATCACCATGGCCCTCGCCCTCGTCGGAATCGGCGGCATGGGCAAGCTCTTCTACGAACTGAGTGTTCCCAAGAAGGAGTAAAGTCGGTGTCCCTCCGATCCCTAAGCTAAGCCACTAAACCTGCAAGATCCGTGATTCAGTGTAGTCGCCACCTTATATTTCGATGTTTTGATTGTGTAAGTCCACTGGAAATCCTACAATTTTCTGTTTTTGTAGTAATTGTTGTCGTTACACTTTTAACTGTATGGCATTAATCATTTAGAAACCATTTTTGTTAGAATTTTTGGTGTCAAAATCCTATACAAAGGGTTTCCTTATAAAATCAATACTAATCATAATATTTTTGTTCACTTACACAACTATTTTTGAAGTCTTCAAAAGTAATTGATAAATGTTAAAACAAATCCCCCTTAATCTTTCAGAGCTTTGTCCCGCGGATACCTGGTAAACATGGAACACCCCAATCCACAACCTGGCTTGTTGTTTTGTGTTAGAATAGCTAAGATTTGATGTGTAAACTGAACATTCGCAAGAGCATTTAAAGCGTGGAAATATAAGAGAAGCTGGCTGTAAACTAATGAGGCTGCTTATTTGTTTTAATGCACGGTCGCTGGCGATGAGATATTTGCCCAAAAGTATTTCCCCTTAATTGCATTGACATTAAGTAAACAAACAGCGGCGGCCTGGAGTGAAGATCTGGGATGCGGTTGAGTCTGGGGTATCGGCTGAGGCGGAATGGCCTGTTTTATAAATCAAAGGGCGGCAACTCGGCGCGTTGCCATTGGCATGGAAATGCATTTTAAATCGAGCGAATCATGTTGCGCTTTAACACAAGCACAGGCCCATGCACGCCGCCCGTTTATTAATACCCGACTGCGGCGGAATATGCAATTCAAGGCGTTTTTCATTAGTTATTTCTCCATAAACACTTAAATAAAACTAAAGCATTAAAAATTAAGAAAACATCCGCCGCTTTATGAATTTTCTCTTGCATTTTCCACAGAGCCGCCGCAGAGGGACAGTGCGGCACAAAACTAAAGCTAAAAATTCAATCAAGAGAAGTAACCCCTTTTTTCTTATTTAAAATTATTTATTTAGTACATTTTTTTAATAGCCGTGAACTATAGAACTATAAAGAGGTTTTTCCCACTAGAAGTTCGAAGTTTCGATAGACGTTTTCGTAAAGACTTACATTTTCTTTACGCACTGTAAACGAACTCCCACAGGAGAGGAAAAACAAGAAAATCTCAGTCTTTCTGTTCTGTTGTGTTGTGCTGTGTTGGTTTGCCATTATTCCGTTACGGCCCATTTGAATTTTGGGATGTGCGCGCGAAACGCAACGCATAAAATGGACGCGGGCGGCTTTACCGTTAACACATTTCGAACGGCAAGCAGTTCTGCGTAGGTGGTTCCAAACGGAACTGAGTCTGGAGATCTATTGCAGACATTGTAACCCATTTCCTACCCACTCCACAGCGGTTTATCCTAATGACATGGACTCCCCGAAAACGAAATATCTCGCTTTTTAATTAAAGTTCGTTGGGCTAATTGTGGGCTGGGGAAATTGGCGGCGCACATGTCGCAAACTTATTATATTTCATAGACTGTGAAAAATTTAAATGAACACAAAATGCCAGATCGCTGGCGGGGCTCCATCTCCCTGTGTCCCTGTGTCTTTCGGTCGGGATCTTTCGGAGTAACTGCAACTGCAACCGTTCCACTCGACTGCCCACAGCCAAATTACAATAATAACTCAAGAAGCATAGAAGATGCCGGGCTAAACGCTCCGCCTTCTCTTCCCAGCGACCGCAATCCTTTGCCGTTGGCTTTGCCAAAAACAATATGGTAGAAGTGAAACAAACAAAACAAACCCCAAAAAGGGGGGATTGGATGCGGATGCGTGTAGAATCGGGAATCGAAAAATGTGTTTCATTAAATGTTATTTATAGTCGGCAATTTTATGCATTTAAAGCGCGTCTATCAGCGCTGCATCTCAGCGGCATCAAGGCGATGCGGAAACGGCAGCGACGCCATATTGGAAACTCAAAGGCGGCGTGCTTTGATTCCGGGCGGGATTGCAGGAAGCAAGGGGAGTAGGGTCAAACTGATTTCCAATCGGGGGATTTCCATGGTGGTGATTTAACTTTCACCTTTCCCTGTTGTTTGTTTTCTTATTTTGTGGCTGGATTATTCGGTATGATACTTGCGGGGTATAAAGGTATAATAGGCTTGAGTATTTCACCGACTTTCTTGAACGCATTTTCGTAACTTAATCCATAACATTAGTATCAGCTTATAAACATGTCGCATAAAATAAATTATTATATCTTACATAGTTTTTAATTCTTATGTGAAATAAAGATTACAATTACAAATACTATCACAATTCTTGTAAATTGCTAGAAAGTATGCAATAAAATGTTACTGCATGATAGAAATGTATACTATTTAACATACCTAAGTACCTCTTAGTCGAAACGATTCCGAACCACATTCACTCGTTAGATGCTCCTCACGTGAGTTATGGCCACGTCCTGGTCCGGATCGGATCAGATCGGATCGACTTGGGAGCCCGGTTCGCAGTCCTCACTGAACAGCAGCCGCAGCCACAAATCAGAATGCCGTTGAAGCGTTCAAGTGCAACGAGCATGAAGCGAACTGGCTGCCGCTTTCGTCTCCAACTCGATTTGCGTCCCCAACTTCGTCTCCTGCCCCTTCCGCTCCGCTCCATGGTGCCCCAATCTCCGACTGTTTCTCCATCTCTGCGCTTGAGGCTGTCGGCAAATCTCGGCAACTTTCAGATGAGTATTTCGTCAGATTGTCGTTGGGGCTGATGCCTGAAAACAGAATACTGAAAACGGGTGAAGTCGGACCTTCGGGCGATTTTTTGACTCTTTGCCCAACGAAACCCGTTTGGCCTATTAACACTTCGATTACAACTCAACTTTTGTCAGCACCCCGGACGCACGGACATGGACCCACTGGGCACTGGGCACTCTGGGTGGTCCCATCGCACTATTAGTTAGATTTTGATTTATTTGAGCTTCAATTAGTCGTTGAGCAAATCTGTTTATTTATTTGCTTTTAATTATTGTTGGAAACCACAAAGCCGTGCCACCGCTCTTTATGCCTTGGCCCAAGAAGGTTTTTAATTAGCACCCGCTGGATAATTCACAAAAAAGCCGTATCCAAAGAGCCGAGGATTTCTTCAGACGTTAATGGAAGCGAACCCCCCGAATCGCTCTAGCCAAGTAAACACATTTTTGTCTTTCGAAATCACAACCGAAAACGAATGCATATTTTCGGCGTTTGCTTGCCAATCTGGAATCCCCATTAAAGTGGGACGGGATTCCATCCCGGAATACCTGCAATCCATCGTAAAGAACTAAGACTATTTTGATACAGTTTCGCATCCATGGAAGAGGGATTCGGCTGGCGTAAACAAACAAAAACATGTTGCATGCCTTGCCGGAGAACCGGAGGAATGCCGTAATATGCAGGCATCGGCGATTTATAGGCCGTAACAGCCCGGCCCCGTGGAAGATGCGCCGGGAAACCGAATCCCCGGCAAACCAGAAACACATGTCCGGACTCTAAAGACGTTCGGGGGATGGGAAAACATCGGTCAGTGCTGGGAACAACGTCATCTAGTCAGGAGTCTAAGTGCGAACGTGTGGGATCAGGTGACACTTGGGTCGTCGGTTGTGGTGTGTTGCCTCTCAAGTGAGCCCGGTATTCGCTTACACCAATAATTCATCCTCAACTGGAGTTGCGTCGATCCGTTTCATGTAGCGCCCGAGGTCCAGGTTCCAGGCTCCAGGTCCCAGGACTCAAGTGGATCGCATAATCACGTGTCGTTGCCTATTTTGTCCGAGATTTATGCGTGTTTTTGGGAGTGCCGCTGCCGTAGACAATTTGACGCTTCCGCCTACAAATGCACTTGGAAAAAATGCTTACTAAAAAGATACCAGCTCGAATTAAATATAATTTCAAATATGCTTAACTTCTTTTTTTAAGTTTTTAACAATAATAGTATGTTGGCTATTTAGCCAAAAAGAAGACTTGTATGCATTTGACTAAAATTTTCTGTGTAAATTGAGTATTGCAATAGCCTTTCTAAAACTCCAGATAACATTAAAACACAATTTTGTTAAGGAACGCCTTGTTACATTTTTCTCAGTGCACAATTCACGCCCATCTGGCGCAATTTTATGTAAGTTGCTCAACGCCTCTGACCGGGATGTGTCAATTTAATAGGGCATTTGCCACTTTATGACATTCGATGCTGCTCCTGGCACTCGGCCTTCTTCTCCGACTCCTTCTCTCGATCCTCTGGTGTTATCTCCTTTGTTTGCTCAAGTGCCCTGCCTGAACCACTTCGACTCATTTCACTCCTTGTTGTTTCACAACACCAAAAAATACGACTGGGAAGATCGGTGAAGGAGAGAAATAAGCGGAAAAGGCAATGTATACATTTGTTATGCTTGTCATTTGTCTCTGGCTGCCGGCAACTTCAAAGCCTGTCACCCAATTTGTTAAACGCGGAGACAATTTTGTCATCAGCTCCCCATATTACCCCCAATTCTTCAGCCATCACTCTGAGGCTTCGGCCGCCGGGGAAGAATTCTTAGCTTTCGCATGTGGCCAATTATTTTGTAAGTCGATCCATACCCAAGTTCGAAGAGATTTTTCTTGGACTTAAAGCCAAAACTTTTTGTATGAAAACAAATATTTTGAATTGAGTTTTTATAAATACAATTTCAAACATTTAGTGGTATTCTATTACAAGTATTTGTCAACTTTTGGCAAACCACCGAAAACTTGAAAACATGAATCTAATGAGAGCAGGGGTCAAAAAATCGACCCCCACCAAAATGAAAAATTTAAACGTAAATCGTTTTGGATTTCCATTACCAACGTTTAGAAGTATGCCACTTTCGAATCGGACTAAAATTTCCTGAGTTATGGGTTTGGGAAGGACAGTAATATACACAATTGTAAAAACCATCGGAATACTAGGAAGAATCTGACATGAATAAGGGTCAAAATTTCGACCCTCAAAAAATGGAAAATTTTGACTGCAGTTTTATCAAGGATGCGATTACAAACGTTTAGAGGTATGCCACTTTGGAATCAGATCAAAAATGGCAAAGTTATGGGTTATGGAAGTCCAGTTTTGGATCACCATACTAAAAACCATTGAAAACTTGGTAAAATCTGACAAGAACAAGGGTCAAAATTTCGACCATCGGAAAATGAAAAATTTTTAATGCAGTTTTATTGAGGATGCGATTACAAATGTTTTGAGGAATACCACTTTGGAATCAGATCAAAATTGACAAAGTTATGGGTTTTGGAAATCTACTTTCGGGTCATTATGCTGAAAACCATTGAAAACTTGGAAAAATGTGGCATAAACAGGGGTCAAAATTTTGACCATCGGGAAATGAAAAATTTTGAATACAGTCTTATCAAGGATGCGATTAAAAAATGTTTAGAGGTATGTCCCTTTGGAATCGGATAAAAATGGTCCAAGTTATGGGCTGTGGACCTCGAGAAAAGGGTTTCCCGTACTAGATACTTGGAAAAATCTAACACGAACAGGGGTCAAAATATCGGCCACTACATAATGGAAAATCTAGAATGCAGTTATATTAAGGATGCGATAAAAAAAATTTAAATGTTTTTTAAATTCTGTGTAATATGCGGAATGGCGACCGTCAAACCAGAAACCGTAGAGAATTTCAGTCGGGAAAGAGAATCATGAAATCAGAGAGCGACAGGGAGAGAAGCCAATTGGATTCGCAACAAAAGGTATGAGCAGGTAAGCGTAAGCCAGCTCAAGGAGGTGTGTCCAACGTGCAGGTGTCTGTGTGTAGGTTAAATCGCAAACAAACCTCACACACATGTGTACACACAAGCGAGCAGAGCGAGGGCAACAACAAATTGAAGAGGCACATTTTGCCCATTTTAATGAGGGAATGACAACGAAAATTGGCATCTATCATTAAATGACGATATTCAGGATTAGTGACAATCAGATGAAGACGGCATTTCTTATAATTAACTCTAACCAAGCAAGACGCAACGCCTCAGCGAGAGTTGGCATCACGCATACGCCGCATTGGCCGGGAGGTGGAACTCTGGGGTCTACGGGGTTAGCTGTCTGTGCCGCTTTATTAGCGATATGGCTTTCTTAATGAACCAAAAATAGATGCACGCGCACCGAGAATTCCCACAGCCCCGCCCCTTTCTTCTCGGTTCCTTATCTTCTCGCTACTCTTCGATACATTCCTTTTATTTCCTTTCTTTCCGCATGTGTGTGACACTAAGAAGTCATGACATCGCTCGCCCACCCTGCGTAACGCTACGGATACGCTTACTTGCTTCAGATTGGCCATTCAAGCATTCAGAAATTAACTCCGCCCGGTTGCGTGTGCTCACTCACTCGGTACTCGGCTGTATTGGTATTGCAGCGGAGAGAGAGAAAGAGAGAGAGAGTGCGAATACCAGTGCGCAGCTCGGGCTCATGGATACACATGGATACACCCACACATCAGCTGGCGCATGGACTGGGGGTTTTTCAGGAGTGGTTAGAGGTGGAGGCAGAGACTATCCATTCAGATGATCATGGTGGTGTGTATTACTCTTCTGATTAAAAAAATCATTTTTTGAAGATTTACTTTTGACATGACAGGGAAATTTTGAATGTATATCTGCGAATCTCTGAATCATTCCATAGTATTAAACATCCTCAATATTATTCCATTTTTGTATCTTTTTTACTTGGGGAAACCCTCAATTCTTCACTGCGCTCCTGTTCGCTGAAAGACATTCTTCATTTTTATTATTTGCCCGCGGACCACTAGCTCACGCACACTGGTGCACGAGCATCGCCATTAAAACCAACAAATACAGTCGATCGACCGCCCTCCTCTCACAGACGTCTGTGTGTGTGTGCGCTAGAGGAGAAGCGGAAGAGGGAGTGAGAGAGCGAGAGATCTTGGGATGCTGCGTCGACGCGGTGGCTTCCACTTGAGCATGGGTGTGTATGTGAATGTGGAGGTGAGTGCGAGTGTGGAGGCGATATTCGGTGTGTGCGTGGCCGTGGATGGTGGGCGATCTCGGCAGCGCAGCGGGCAGCGTTAGTCGCAGCAGACACGGGTGACGAGCAGCAACGATCGCTTTTGGAGAGCGCGCCAGGGTTTCCCGATCCAAGTCGACCCAACCGTTCCCAACCGATACGATACGATTCGAACCGATTCGCTAGAGAACAAAAGGCCAGCGGAAGATCGAAGGGTGCGCGCACGGATCAGTGAGTGCGGTTCAATCGGTCCCAACCATCGATCTCACGGGCGGTCCCCCAGAAAAACAAACCGATGTAGTCGAAAACCAAAGCATAGCAAAACCATTGTAGTGTCATTAAGTGTGTGCAGTTCCCGGCTCTTCAATAAGGTGTGATAAGTGCGTGATAATTTTCGAGGCAACCCAGCCGAGAGCGATCGTTTTGGCCCGAAAATGTGCTAATCAGATCTCAGTCTTGGTTCACGGCACCGCGGCCCCGACGCTGCCCCGCACAACTGGCGCCAATTTGTATACAAATTTCATGCCTTAATTGAAACTCACATTATAGCCAAGTGCGAAAAGTTAACGACTAGGTAACCACCGTCAGTCCCCAGCAACGCCAAGCCATCCATCAGCCAGCGAATCCAACCAGAGAAAGTTTCACGGCGGAGTCGGCAGAAAGCGAGCGGAGAGTGCGACAATTGCAGCTCTGGAGTTCTTCAATCAACTGTCATCGGCCGAAATGGACCCAGGTAGGTGTCAATTCCTATTCCTATAAACATAAGTGGCCCCAAATCAAGTGCCCTCTTACTTTGATTGATTTATAGCAGTGAGAGTTGCCGACGGCATTGGGAACTTTAAGCTATAAGAATTAATATTTCTCAAAAATTAGGGAAGTAATCTTCTATATTATTGTAGTTTATTAATAAAAAACAACAAGAATTTCCTTTCATTATCTGAGCTATATGAAACAGTACTAAATTGAGCTACTTTCCTTGATCTTAACGAGTTATTTTTGTGACAGTTATTTGTGTTCACTCAAATCCGCGGCTCAAGTGTTTTGCCAACAAAGAGCTTTCGTCCGATCCTCCAAACAAGTCCTGATGGCTCCCCTCAACCTGGGCTGCAATCGCGATGTGGTAAACACAATCGACGGCTGGATAACCCGACTTTGTTTTTGGGTCGGGCCAAGAGGCAGGTGTTTGCTTTTGATTTTCGTTTCAAAAGGCTGCCGTCGCTTTGCGCATGATCGACAGCCTCGCGGTAGCCGCGGCACTTGTTTGACTTTCGATGATGTCGCCGACATCCGTACTCGAACCCAAACCCACATCCACATCCACATCCACGGCGAAACCAAAACCAAAACCAAAACCCCAATCCAGACCCAAACTCCGGACCCATGGCTCCTAATTTAACTAATGACCGTTGTAATGTTTGTGCCTTTGTCGTGCGGTCTTCACTTTTGGCTCCAAGGTTCCGTGTCTCTGTTTGTCCATATGCTTTGGGCCAAAAACAAAAGCCGAGTGCAAGACACTGCCTTATGGCCAAAAACTACACAGGTGTGTAAAGATTTGCCCTGTTGGATCTATTGACAAACATCTGCGCAATTGAATGGTTTGGCATGCGTCGATTTACTTTTACGAATTTTCAACAGCTTGGATCATCTTCCAAAATAATTGGCTATCGGTTATGGATTCCGTGACATAATTTTGGAAAATTATAATAAGCATGAAGCAGTTATATACATTCTGTTGGTTTTGAGATCTTATTTATTGCTAATTCTTAACCGCAAAGTATCAGAAAGGTTTAAGTTAAAGGATACATGTACCTTTTCTCACTTGCCGGGCAAAAAAGAAGGAAGAGAATGGCTAGGAGGTCCCGCACTTTGGTCCATTAATGACTTGCTTTCGATGTTTTGACATTCTGTTTGTACGCCGGCAGTGTTTGCTCGGCCGCAGACGTCGGAAAAGATATAGACGGGTGCGCAGACGCCGAGAGGGCGGCGGTCCCGATCCCAGACTCCGGACCAGAGGTGCAGAAATGCGTGACTAACGGCCACCGGTAGCCATCTACTTCGGTAGCCAAACATGAAAAGCCCACCAGACGCGGCCGCAAGTGCAAGATGTTGAAGCCACCGAACGGGGCACTAAAACAAAAGGCGCAGACGACGGCCACGAAAGGCAGGCAAACACTTGAGACCCGAGGAGGAAAACGTCGCGTCAATGTGTACACGCCTTAATGGAAAAGTCTATACAGTGGTTTATTATATGTGTATGTATGTAGGTGTCCAGAAGCAGGGGGCAAGGGGGCAAGGTGGGGTGATCACAAAGCCCGACCTGCAGCTTCCTCCCGTGGACACCGATGATTGCGCCCGGGTTTGGGAGTACGCTTCACTGGCACGGCTTGATTGTGTGGCGTCGTTTCCCCCGAGTTCTTTAATTAAATCACATCCCCGCTCGCTGATGCGGAACTCACACAAAGCGCATTTGCAGTGGTTTCGGGTAATGCGGTTTCTCTGGGAGCTTTAAAGTTAGTGGTAATCACCACATATGCATAATCCTCCCAATACCATTTATAAAAATTTGTAAATAGGATAAACATTTTTAGTTACAGTTTTGTCAATTAGTATATGTTTGCTCTTTAAATGTGCATCCACTATCACAATCAGGACCTTCAGCTTCTAGAGGTTAAGTTCCCTTCGTAGATCAGTTGACATTTTTCACTTGGGACATCTCCCCACGGATCCAACCTCTGACATCTGACAAGTGTTCTTCATGTACAAGAGGATAAACTCAGCTCATTACCATAAATTTAATGAGTTTCTAATCGTTAGGGGGCACGTGTTTGAGCCAGTTCACTCCGGGATAATGAATGCGATCGCATCAATAAGCGGGTGGATAGCATCTGGTCCTAACCCCTAACCCCTAACCCCTTGACGGCCTGTGGCAACTCCCACGGGAGCGATGGCGACCCACAACCGGAACTGCCTCAGGAATTCCGACTCCATTTCCCAGTTTCGGGTTTGTAGTGCTGCAAGCTTGGCTATTTTCCAGCCAATTTTGGGAAGAATAAAAAAAGAAACCTTTCAGTTTGAAACTGTTTGAAAAGTTTTGGTAAAAAAAAATTCATTAGGATATAAAAATTCATTTTATTTAGCCTTCTTTTCTTTTAAATTTTGTACTTTATTAAATTTTGGAGAACTGTTGGTTTGTGTAGTAGCGAACCGAAATGTATTTCAGATATTTTTCCAAAGTACCAACATCAGCTACTTCTTGTAATCCCCAGTGGGCATCCCTACCCAGGATTTACTAGTGGGCGAGCTGGAGAACACATGGCTAGATTTATTTCCATGTAGTGGCTGTCAGCGACGGGCGGAGCACATTGCTCGAGTGCCGGCGAACCCGAACCGCGGCGGAGTTGTCGGTTCTAGAACATTGGCAATGATTGGTCGGATCTTCGGATCTGTAAATCTGTGGATCTGTGGATGCCTTGGATTCGGAACTCTGGCCCAGGGTTTGCATCGCAATCGAGCGCATTTCGGCTACGCACTCGCATTGTGCGCATTCCTGGTACGCGTAATTGAAGTCGCCGCGGCATGTCTCTTTGCTTTGCTTTTTGGCCGGGGTGCGACACCCCTTTCGAGTGTCTAGAGTTTCGGGCTAGAGCCGTCATATTTCCTAGCTCCCAGTGCCCCCGTATCCCAAGGGGGCGGAACAAGGAGCGAGTGCGTCCCTCCGCTATCGTGGCGGTGGCTGCCGTGATTTATGGACTCATTAATTTCTGTTGACAGACAATGCTGTTGACGCCGCAGGAATCTATTTAGCTTTATGTACTCCCGATTCCCACTTGCTGGGGCGCCTATTTTATGGGCTTCATTTATAATTCCGAACTTCGAACTTCTTCGGTTTTCGTCTAATTAATGTACGCTTCAAAGAATATAGCATAGCTCTAGCTTTGTTTTCCATATTCAGTATTGAAACTTACATTGAATTTCCTCGACTTGTTGAGCACAACATCGCACAACATTGCAGTTAAGAAAGCATAACGCAATTCCAATCACGACTCTTTTCCATTGATAACACTCGGGTCTGAACTCTGCAGATTAAAAGGAAAATGGCATTGCCAGCAGATCAGCAGATCAAAGTGACAGACGGGAGTGGCTTCCTCTTTCTCTTGGCCCGGCGACTCTGTGAAATTCACTGATAAATAAATGCGATTGTGCGGCAAATTGTGCAACGCTCCGAATGCAAAATTGTCGACAAGCCTCGTGGTTACTATATAGATGAGAAGAGGAAGAAATCGAAGTGGAAACTAAACTATTTATAAGTCGATGAAGAGCGCAACAATGTTGGCGACTGACTAAATATTCACAATGCGAGCAGTGAAAAGGGGCGGGCCACGCGGCGTATACGCGACGCGCTGGCTGAGCCTCAGCTCAAGTCAACTGAGTTGTTAAATTAATTTTTTCTGCATGCCGAATGCATATAAATTTATATAGGATGCCAGCAGCCATCAGCCAGCGGCGGAATCAAGAAATAAACATATGAAGGAAGGCATCTCCCTACCGCGAGGGCGCTCCGTCAATCAACCTGCTGGGGTCTTCCGAAGGAGAAGAATTGCTTGCCAAGACCCAAAGATTTATGGGAACAACACGCATTCGAAAATGCACTCGTACATAGTCTATAGTTATGAGAGGGGAAATCCGATTCGCCATGCGCTTTTATACCCTTCCGATTAAAGTAGATTATCCCATTTAATTCATTTCAGAGATCAAACAACTTTCTAAAACCTTAAAAACAAATAAATGAAATTTGCTTATCTACTTAGAAAATTACCATCATTACAAATAGTTTGTGAAGTTGTTTTTTTAATGGGTATCCCACTTAAGAGCATTTAATCGTCGAACTTAATATTTTTTCATATTTTTGGGGATGTCTTTTTGATGCGATTATGCCGGCTGATCCAATCAAACACCAAACCAGAAGCCCCCAAAATTATTGCCCCCAATATCAAAAACATCATTTCATGCCAAATTTATATTCAATTCGGGCCCAACGAACTAAAAATAAGTATCAAATTGGCAGGCATTTTGGTATCTTGGTATTTATTTTATTTGTTTGCAGTTAATGCTGTGAATATTCAGACAATTACTCAAAGTTTTCTGCGATTTAATACAATTTAGTGGACCATTTTCGTAGAACGCATCGGTTAGTGTGAAAACGTGTTAATTGACGGGCCGCTTATTAATTAAAATGAAACTTGAATGGCATTTTTTTATTTTCTACAAATAAAAGTATCAAAGGCGTGATAAGTATTATTGTCATCATCGGAGTCCGATGAAATTTCGCCTGTGCATTCAGATTCAATTCAAAAGTTATAAATCATACAATGTATTTTAATGGTCGCATAAACAAAATGTCTTATCAGCTGAAATGTTTGAATTTGTTAAATTCAATTAGGCAGAAAATAAGTTCATTGCCTCTCGACATTTGACATCGAAAATGTTCTTAGCAATCAAGTTTGTGAAATAATCACCAAGTCAATCGAATGCCTTGATGAAGTTGATTCAAAGTATTATTTTTATTGCAATATTAGTTGCAACTTATCAACCAGACAAGACAAATAGGAAAAGGAGACAATCTCGATTATCGCTTGTGTATATATATATATTATTTTCCAGTTGATAAGAGTCAATATAATTATATGCCAGCTTGTAAGCTTGCAATGCAATAAATACTTTTAGTGTTTAACC